AAAATGACAAAAATATTCACCAAAATTAGAGAATTGAAGATATCATCATGAAATGAACAAATCTGAGAGAGGTCTACCCAAGGTACATATACACCAAGTATCAAAGCATTCAGGCTTGTAGTTTTCAAGAAGAAGTCGAAAAAGTAAAACATTGACACGGATGACGGACGACGACGACGGACAATCACTCATATGATAAGCTCCGCTCGACAAAGTCGACAGCGGAGCTAATAAAAGAGAACAGACTCATGCATACACAAAGGTAATTCTAAATCTGTTTTATAATCCTTAATTTTTCAGATAGCTGTGGATCATTGTCATTCTACAAAGACTGCAAATGCTTTTAACTAATCCGTTGTAAAGTTATTTGTGATGATCAGTTCTACATTGATGTGATTTGTATGGTCCATATTTACATGACAAACAAGTATATTGGAGTATACTAGCTGTGTGTAGGTGGCTCTTTCCCTGAAGTTTTCCCGACAGCATAATATTCTCCATCACATTATTTTTTATGATTAAATTAATAATCCTAATGCATTTGTGAAATGCTGCAAGGGTTGAATGCCTGTGGCTGCTATAGGCTACTACGCCAGCGCACTAGAAATTTCTCAGGGTTCTCCCTTGGGCATTATAGAGTAGAGGTTCCCAACTGTTTGATTTAGGATAAACAATAGAACTAATTTAGCATAACAAGGAACATAATATAAGTAATAGTAACATAGTCTATTATCAGAGATTTTTTCTAGGAAAAAACTGCAAGTGGGGGAGATAGGGTTCTCCCTGCCAGGGTGTGGAGTTTTTGATAATTCTAAGTTAAAATGAAACATTCTATGGCTTCGTTTGGGCCAAAATTACTATCAGACAGGCCACAGCTGAAGACAGTTGAAGACTGGTAGTTGAGGACTGTGGCCACATGTGATCACTGGTCAATCAGAATTTTATGGTTGCCAGAGGATCTGCTCCCCAGGGTAAGGAGGCGCATGGCCATGGCATGAGGGCGCTGCGCTCCTGTTCCCTTATTTAAATCAAAGAAAGCTTAGAAAAAACTCTCATGTGCTGAGAAGTATTGGAGACACATTAAATATAATTCGTCAAGCTGGATGGCCCGAATTTAAATATCAGTGCATGAACTCTAGAGGTCATTGCCAAATGCCGCACGTAATTCAAACGCATGGTTAAAAAAACTAATTATCATGAAGGCAATACATTACGAAGTTGAAATATTCAGAGCCGGTACAATATTTTAAACAAATTTGTGTAATTAGAAAAGCAGTGCACTAAATAAACGACGTTGATATATTCAAAGCCAGTGCAGAGTTGCATACAAGTTGCGTAATTACAGTACCTTCGGATATAATAACAATTACTAGATTGACGCACGGGGCACGAAAGAAAAAGGTTGCTTAGGTAACGCGCCAGTTCAGTGCGTGACTCAAGGTCAAACTTCGGTCAACACACATTTGATGTCAGCATCGCCGCGCAACAAGTTTCGCAAAGAAGTACTTGAAGTTCAATTGCGTCCCAAAATGATGTCGCTGATCACTCAGTTGTCGCAGCGTGTGTTGTGTCATGTCCATGATGCACCCTGTTTCGACTTTGGCTTGCTTTTCCTTCATAGTGCATGTTCTTGTTCACGTAAAATGCGACCTCTCACCGGTGTATTGAAACACTTTGAATTTATACTTTGCATGATTATATTTGGTCAACGCGAAACATTAATTTTTCTAAACATTTTCTGAGATCATTTTTATCAACGTATGGTTATTTTTCCAGACAAGGTGGGCTTCGTAATATCTGCCATAACATCGCCCGGGGCGATGCCTAGAAAAATAAAAAAAAGCAATGCAGCCAGACGGCTACTTTGTAGCCATGTGTTCATTGTTTGTTTGTGTACAGTGAGCTTTGCCAGTTCACTGTTTCATTTCAAGTGTAACATGGTGCGTGGTCCTTGACGCAGTGTGTGTTCTATGCCCGACTATACGCCATGAATGTCGCTAGCCACGAGTCTCAGAGGCACTAAAAAAATGTCCTGTAATCATGCTCATTGGAAAACAAAACAAATCACTAATAAATTTATGAAAACGGCTCCTTTTTGAATCGATCTAAAAGTACTCTTAATTCGCGTACCAAAAACCAATAATTTCCGTTTTTACGCTATTAATTTGTGCACTTGAAAAAATAATTATTTTTACTATCGCGAATTAATCAAGTTTTTACGGTATTGGTTTTTCCGATTTTGAGACATTCATCAGCGTCCGGTTCTGTGAGCCAAATCAGGTGTGAATGGAAACATGTCAGTGATTAGGCAAAGACAATGGACTAATACAGCTTCGTACTTCGACAATAAACACTTTCGCCCTATTTAATGGGGGTAATTGCGAGCATTTTTTCAGTAGCATATTCAGCTTGAAGCAGCAACGATGTCAAGCAGCAGAAATATTACGCTGTGGTTCCGCGTAGAACGCCCTGCTGGGCCTCTGGTTCCGAGCGATAAACCCACCAGCAACGCGGTCACCGGTACCTGTCGACCGTGGTACTAAACATATCCAAGATGACGAAAGGTGCAAAGAAAAGAAAGTCTTGATTTGAAGCACAAGGGACAACAAAATATACGTGGCTAAGAGAAACATCCGACGGCAAAGGTAAAAAAAAGTATTTATTCATAGCGTTTTACTTGAAAGCGTAATTTGACCTAGTTTAGTCAACTATGGCTAGTATGGCTTCATTTTTTGCCGATCGTCGAAACATTTTTTTGAAAACGTCTTTCTTTCTGGAAGTTCAAAAATTGTTGGCTATGATTTATCAAACAACTAGTATTGTGTTTTGAAAGTTGGGTAAATTTTATCGTGGCAATTTTTTAGATTTAAGTTTAGTGACTTTTCAAAATGGTGACAATTTGTTTATTTTGGTGTTGATCATGACGATATTTTTTAAATACAAGTATTGATTCGCCCTTATTTTTTATCTTTTAGGAATGCTGTGTCACATATGTGTAAAATTCAACTTAAAATCATCCAGAAATAGTTTTTTGGTATGAAATTCTATGCCATGTATAAATATTACGAAATATGCTATCATTAAACACGCACACTCGGAGATGCACAAGAAGGCCATGTCATTAGAAGTGGAAAGCAAAGAAAATCACGGCGTTCTCAAAAGCTGCAGACCACTGGGCTTCCATGAAAGTCAGAAGAATCAACATTACATAGAAAGCACACAGGAGCAGATTTATTTAATCTTGTACATAAATTTGTTAAAAAATAAAGACACAATTTCATCCATGCAAGCCTGTCATTATTGTTTTCTTTATCTCCAGACATATGCTAATGATTTTGTAAATTATATGCAAATTAGCCGCCAATCTGAGACATTTTTCTGGGGAGAACACTGTATTATACAACTAAATGCTAGCCATTCATTAAATAAAGGAAAGAATAAGAGATCTAAAGTTTGGTGGAATGACCATCAAAATAATTTGGCCTCAATTGCCTAAAATAAAATTTCTTATTTCATCCAAAGAGTAGAGTTAGCTGATTTAGTTTATTTACTACTGGATTCTGCTGTAAATTCACCTTTTCAACTTTCAACGCCGACAGTTGGGCCACCCAAGACAAAAGAAACTATTGCGCTAATCTAAAATCTGACACATTTTTTTCTTGCTGAACTAAAAAGTAGACCGCCTGAAATTTCATTACAATGTCACCCAGTGTCATTTTTCAAATACATTTTTTTTTATTTTATTGGTAATGAAAGTATATTCTGAACGAAGTTTTCAAATATAAACGAACACAACTGCATTGCGTAGTAGAAAACGATCACAGTTGCGCAATCGGGTCATGCTGCGTTTCACAATTGTTGATTATTACTCAGTAGTGATTATAATAACACACAAAAAATAAATTTGTTGAATTCTTATGTTAACTGTCGTTTAACGGTCCAGGACGAATTTATGGACACGAACATTGTTGTAAAATTAGCTACACCTTAAAAGATGCATTTTACAGCATTGGCTGAGATGAATCACTACAATGGTAATGTTTGGGTATCTGACAACTGATCAGGATTCAATTTTAGCTATGAATCATGGATCAAAATATAACATTAGAGGTCCTACATCTGTACTGCAGTCACAAAATTTGATATAGGATCTAATGGTTGCTAATAAAATGACTAGTGTTGCTTTACAAGATAGATACTGATGATATAGCAAGCAGTGTACGTTTTGAGTCGGCCATACTTTCTGTTAACGAGTTTTTTCACGTTTTTATCAGTACAAGTGACCTAATGGTCAAAATAGCTCTGCTGTTCTACAAGTCAAGAACAAATTGTTTACAAAAAAATTGTACACCTCAAATATCAAAGCATTCAAAAATATCATTTTTTTACGAAAAATGATTTGCCTAAAAATAGCAAATTGATGATATCGGCATGAAATCTGATACAGGTCCACCCAGGGTACCTACATACCTAGTATGAAAGCAATTGAGAGAGTAGTTTTCAAGAAAAAGTTGAAAATGATTATTTTGACGGACGACAGACAATCACCTATATGAACAGCTCCACTCTGTCATCTACAATGACAGCAGAGCTAAAAAGGCGAATATAAAGCAATAATTGCGTAAATACATTGATGTTGGACCTTTTATTTCTGAAGATGATGAGACAATTCATAACTGAAAGATGTTGGAATTTGTTGCAATGCTTGCTTTTTGCAGATATCAATCATTGAGCCATAGTTTGTTTTTCACTGGGTTTTAATTTCGCTATTTTCGATTCAAAAAGAAACCAAAATAATTTTTAAAAGCCAAAAAATTCTGAATATCTGACAAATAATTTAGGTTTTTCAATGGTTAAAATAAAAGTGTACCATGTTTGAAAGAGTGACATGGTCATGTTCATTCAAGAGCATGTGTGACAAGACAACTACTGTTGATGGGCACTATCTTTAATGCTTTCAGCGTCATCAATGCTCGCGACATTGTCCAGTTGGTTTTTACCCTTATCTGGTGAAATTGATGTTAAAGTACATGGGACTAGCGGCAGGATAGGAGTCAAATATCTAGCCTTTCCAAGGATTTATGAATTAATATATAATTTATATTATGACATGTACATGGCAAGTACAGTAATAAATGAATGTGCAATGGGTTATGTATGTATTTATTATATAAGCAGTCATCAAGGATTTGTATGCAGACAAAGTTAGGAAATGCTTTCAGCCAGGTTTCATTTTTTTTAAAGTCGTAATTTTTTTACTGCTACACAACAAAGAGGGAATCGGGGAACTATCATGAACAAAAACTAAATTATTTTGGTGTACATGTATTTCACCACATCTTGTGTAACCAGTGAGCGATTAACAGGGAACCTAGGTGAAACATTCAGCATGCTGCTCAAGAAACCTTATCGAAATGATATCACTAGAATGATAGTTGTACAAAGAGATGAAATACTTTATTCAGAATGATTTTCATCATAATTTGTTTTCAAAAACTAGGAGTCAGCTAAAATGAGTTTCATAACATTGATCTATGTAAACCCTCATGCTTATGCCAGTAAGGCACATCAAAAAATGTTCTTTGTCAGCAGTAAATTTAGATATTTTTTTTTTAAAAATTACTCTCAAGATGAACTAAAAAATGAAATTATCGTGTACATGTGCAATGTTTGATTTCCATATCCTACTCTGAATTATCACACATACACTATAACACAACCAAATCCAGAGAGCTCGAAATGTGTTAATGAATAATACTAGAATTATTTTTTTTGTGAATAAAAACATGAAACAATCAAATTGCTGTTCCGTCAAATTGTTCACGTGCGAGTTTCATAAAAACATACTAGTAGTTTACGTTTGCATTAACTAATTTGCGATAAATTCAAATTTACATATACGTCGCAACCCATAAAACAACTATAAGAATGGAAGTAGTCGTGATATTGAGTGTTCACTGACAAACGAGAACTGAAAATGAAAACTTTTACATTTTATTGGAACATGGAGCTCGGAAAGCGGTCGGTTTTCAGAGCGTCGTTCGCATGACTTGTCGGCCATGTTGTCACCTTCATGATCCATCATGTCATTTCGTTGGCAACGTGAAAATAAGAAATAGAGCCTATCGTATGTCGTGTGCAAGTTAAAATATGGAGCGACAATAAGTATTATGTTCTTGTCAAATCAAAGCATATAAACATTCTAATAACCTGGGAGATATACGTACCTTTTCGCAAAGTTGTTTGACCTGATTTTCTTGAAGTTGTTTGCATTCATTCAACTGCTCGATCCAAGCGTCAAGTTCTTTCAATTGGGCCTTGTCTTCCATTTTATGCCCAACTATATTCAAATTGTATCGTTGTTGAGCAATTATATAATAGTAAAATTAATGTGTGTGTACTTTCGACGTTTCAACGCGGCCTTGTTTTCATCCAGTCGTTCAAAGGTGGTGAAAAATTCAGAAAATTGCGGTACTCGCAGACAAAATGGCCGCCGATTTGTATCGCCGATGACGTCATAACGTTCCTAGTTTCCGAAGAAGGCCGAGTATCCGAATGGGCGGGGTAGGAGGAATACGAGTACGAGTTACGCGTTTATCAGTTGATGCTGTATGCCCCGGTCTGAGGCGGGGTGGGCTGTAAGTCATCCGCTAATGAAAAATCATTTTGATTAATAACTATCTGAAAATAATAACTGATACATTAGTTGTGCATTTGTCAGTATGTATTAATGAATTCATCAAACGTGTTTTAAACCCGAAATTTCGATATAATTGTAGCAAGACAATGGCTTTTGTTTTGATGTTTTGTCAGCGCGTAACATGCCTATAATTAGTAATACATGTATAACTACATGTATAGACTGGCACAGTCTGGGCAATTTTTTTTTTTTTAAATTTTAAATTTAAAAAAAATATATAGCGAAAGTGAGGTGTTAATGCGAAATCCCATGTGACCGAAAATCACCCATGAATGAGTTGGTTACACGTTCACCCAAAATTTCGTAAAAATATTTTTTCCAAGTTTTTTATTATTATAATTTAACTGAAAAAAAATCACCACAGCTGGGCCTACTATATTAGTTATATGGGCGAGTTTTGCTGATTCGTACGTCGCATAGCGCCCTCTACAGCGCAATACTAGTATTTCCTGTTCAGCGAATCAGCGTGTTCAGTTCGCTGGTTCCCGGCGTCCTTTGCGAATGGCAGGTAGGATTCGTTACTAGTTACCGGCTAGACTGGCGCAGTCGGGGCGATTAATTTGTTTTTGTAGTTTAAATAAAATTTTTAAAAAAATCGCCAAATGGAGGTGTTAGCGCGAAATCACCCC